ATTATGAAACTTTCAAAGGAGGTTTTGAGCCGTATAATAACCTCAGGAGAGAAATCAATATAAATTTCAGAGTTTAATCAAGATTGAGCTCAAGTGAAGTCTAACCAGGCTTCAGTCAATGGAAAGGATTTGATAAAAAATGAGGTCAACAAATGAAACCCCAATATGTGTGACAGAAAATTCAAAGTATGTCGCACATATTTGTGCTGATCATGTTCAATATCAATATTTTGATTTTAAAGGATAATTTGAAGATTAAGATTCTGAGTTGAATTTGAAGAATTTTGAAGTTCATCCAAATTGAGGATTCTTGGAAGAGTTTGTTTTAAAAGCTTCAATTCTATAGTGATTTCATTTGAGATTTAAATTTTTAAAATTTTAAAGTTAAATTTAGATTTTCTTTAAAGTTTAAGACTCATTTGTTTTTAAGTGTTTTAAAGTGATTTGATTTTAGGTTATAAATTTCAATTGATTTAATTTTTGGAAAAATCATTGAATACTTGAACACCTTAGAATAAAAAGCACAATGTCTGACATTCAACCTAAGAGGTGAACAAGATGATTTGATCAGAATAAAAAAACACTTTAGATTTATATGTAATGTAAGAACCAATTAAAGGGGAAAACTCAATGTCCGACTACCTTTGGAATGAAAAACAAAAGCCTTCAAACTAAAAACAAACGGTTAAATATGATGATCAGATCAAAATACAATATCTAATGGATTTAATCTAATCTGAGAGCTAATCAAGGGCGATTAGATTGGGATAGAATGCATATTGGATCCTACTTCTAACTGAGAGCTAATCAAAGATAAATTTAACTTGAATACATTAGATTGAAATGTGCATGACTGATATTCATTCTAAGAGGTAAACAAGGTGATTAGATCAAAACAAATATTGGTTGTGTGAAGTCATATTACGTCTATGACAATGGAAAGAGATTTTAATCAAGATTAAGCTCAAGTGAAGTGTAACCAAGCCCCGGTCAATGGAAAGAGGGCTGAACAAAAAATGAGATCAAAAGTGTTGAAGCCAATGCTTCCATCCGTTTCTCAAACCTTTATATATGCTCATGTCTTTTTCTTAATTCATTACATTTATGTTTAGCTATGTTAGGTGAGACATCCTCCTCAACTATAATATCTTGATGATGTCCATGTATTAATATTGGAGCTAGGTTTTGAATTACATAAATAGAAATTTAGAATTTCTTCCATCATTTTTCTAATCTTTATATTTGATCATCTCTTTATCTTAATTTACTAAATAGACATTGAGCTGTGTTAGGTGGGACACCCTCCTCAACTATAACATCTTGATGATGTCTTTGTACTAGTATTGGAACAAGGTTTCAAATTATAGAAATAAAATTAAGTTTTTTTTCCATTCTTTTCTCCAATCTTTCTATTTGTTCATCTCACTATCTTAACTTTTTCAAAAGATACTGCACTGTGTTCGATGCAACACCTTCCTCAACTACAATATCTTAAGAATGAGCATGATCTTATTGCTCTTTTTGCACAATTATAATTTCAACAACCATAATGACAACACCTTTCTAAAAAGTTTTTAAGACTTCTTCCTCTTCTTTGAGTTGTTTAATGTTGGCTTCTAATTCACTAGAACTTCATCAATTGGTGGACCCCTGATATTTTTTGGATCAATTAGGTTGTATTTAGGCTTTTATCAACACCATTTATTTTACTTTGTCAGATCCTTACACATTTTTGTCATGTTCCTGAGTAATATGAATGTCATTGACTTTTCTGTTTTCACTTCCATCAAGGTAGTCTCAAATTTAGGCTATGTTATTTCTTGAGAGTGTACTTTGAAGATGTAAAGTGGGTTAAGATGAGGTTTCTAATCCAACATCATTTGTATGAGGAGGTGGTACATAAAATTCAAAACATAATCTTTTCACTAAGAGGGATTTCTTCTTTTAATTCTCAATAGCAAGCACTTTCTGGAAAGACTTTGAAATATAATAAAGTGCTTCATGTCATATAAGATATACTTTATGGGTCATCTAAAGAGACACCAGAATAAAAATTAGGTGCTTTTGGTGATAAGTAGTATTTAAGATGAAATGACAAAGATTGGTTAGAGACTTGCCTTAATTTTTTAGTCCTAGTTAATACTATGCTATCAATGGTTTTTTTGTTCAGTGGTAGTGCCTATTCCTGTCAGCTTGTGCATAGGAGCTCCCTTAATACTCATAATTCTTCCTCAATAATCTATCAAACTCATGGACTTTTCTTTTCTCGTCTTGAGACACTACACCTCCTATACAGTTAAGGAATTCCATCACATTAACTCTTTCAAAAATTCTACAAAGATAAGAAATATGAACACTTCTTTCCTTTACTAGGAGATACATTCCCAAAAGGAGGTAGATGTGAATCATTTATTCTACGCATAGCTTCTTCTTATGAAACACAATATGAATGAAATTTACTTCCTCCCGAAGGAGAAGAGGTTTCAAGTCAGTGTCATTTTCATGTGCATTCTCCTTTTTGACTAATTTCTTTTCTTTGTTATCTCGTATGTAATTCTTATGAAGCATCCTATTCTTGTTTCTTTGCCTAGTTTTAGTTAATCTATGAGAAGAATTGGAAGACGATCAAATTATAATTTAAAACTTCTCTGATTATTTCAAAAAATACTTCATTAATCACTTCAACAGATTTGGGGGTTTCACTGACTTGACCAATGTCCATTTTCTCAGAAGGATTTTTAATCCTAAGAAGAATAACACCAACAATATTCACAATAGGAGCTATCTCAATAACTCTTTTTTTTCAAATGCAAGAAATCTTCTTTGGACTTGAGATTAAATTTTATTAATGGCTTCTTTTCATCAACAACTTGGGATTCTATGATCAAAATGCTCACATCATTGCATGTCATTATAAATGATCTAAACCCATTCCAAACTTAATAAAAAACTCACCATTTAGATGAATTGGGTCAAGTGACTGGTTTGTTCCATTTTCAAAGGAGAAAACCAACTTAAATTACAACATTTTTCATGTAATTGAGAATAAAAAATATTATCAATGGGAAGTCTACTCTCGAATCTTTGAATCTCAGTGAATTTAAGAAAAAAAACAATGTTCAAAAGAAGACTCGATTAAATGATGAATTTTGAACATAGGAAGATAAAAATAAAGTCCTAAAGATTACTTTCTAAAAACTCGATTAAATGATGAATTTTGAACATAGGAAGATGTCCTAAAGATTACTTGCTAAGCATGATTTAAATGAGATGTTAAGGAACCGAGGAATGAAAGATATTGGGCAGACCCATTAGATAATTTGGTGGTTGAAAAGTTCAACAAGAAATGAAAGGGTAATCTGTGTCTGTGAGGGCTACAGACAAATTTCCGATTAAGAATAATATAAGCCAGTACTAGAGATAGAGAGATGAACCATATACAACAGAGAAACCTTGGTGGGAAATTTTTTTGTTGTTAACATGTTCACCACAGATCATGAAAGATTTCAATCTAAATGATCAAATACATTATTTGAGGAGCAATATACTATCTCAATAGATGGAAATATTACCTTAAAATAGATTTAATCATTCCAATGAGGAAAATATTTAAAATTTATACGTCAGTGTTAACCAAAGATTTGCCTCCTAACTTATAGGTGTAAGATATGGTTTATTTTATGTTAGGGTATGGTATCCTTACAAAGACAAGACCTCATAGTTAGATACATCCCATGAGTTATGGATTTTTGAGAAAATTCTCAATTAAGGAGTTGACATATATTATGCAGGATTTCAAGGTTGTTGTTATTCAAGATTTGAAGTGATTTTTCAAATGAGAGTTTTTTAGGGTTTGAAAAGATTTTTTTGGAATTTAAAGATACAATTTATAGTTCAATAACAATGTGTCGTAGAAAGGTCCGAGAAAGAGGATAACCAACTTAAAAAATAAGGTTTACACTGGAGTTGAGATTGGAAAATTGCTAAAAGAGTTATGTTTTGATTTAAAAGGTTGGATTTTAAAGGTTTAAGTTGAATTGGAAGGTTCATTTCATTGGGGTTTAACTTTAAAATAGTTTAGTTTGAAAGAATTGGATTGAAGGTTTTAATTTGAACATTAATTTGAAAAGTTTTGGTTTAAAGGTTTGACTTCAAAAATTTGATTTGAAGGCTTGATTTTAAAAGCATGATTTGATTGGTTTAAAGTAAAGGTTTGATTTGAAAAGTTCTAATTTGGGGGTTTTGAATGTTGATTTGAAGGATTATTTGAATTAAAAGTTTATGTTGAAGGTTTGGAATAAAATGTTTGTGTGGATTTAGGTTAGAATGATTTCTAGATGGAAGTTGATGTCTTAGCCCTAAGAAAATTTCGTACTCTATAAGGAGGGTAAATAGATTGACTAACTGAAAATTTGGGTATCAAGCCCCCAATCAAGTTTCACTCAACTTTCCATCATCTGAAATTTGTTGGTTGCCTTAGACTATTAACTAACTATATATAAATAGAACTTTACTTTTACCATATGATGGCGAAATTGGAGCTTCTTAAATATTAGGTATTTGGAAGTGCCTTCATCAGTAAGTATATGTTACTTCATTCCAGGGAACCTACATAATCTAAGGGAGTTATAAGCTGTGTTTCATATGGTCGAGTTTTTAACACTAACTAGGGGTAATTAGTAGCATAACATAGGCTCCTATACTAGACCTTTCAAAGGGTATGTGTGATTCTGGGTTTTACTTCTAACTTGGCTATCATAGGGTTCAAAGTTGATTTTACTTGTTTAGGTTAGTATATTTTAATTTATTTTTGTGAGTTTTATATATTATATTTTTTTGTTGGTTTAGTTTGTAATTTAGTTTGAATCTCCAAGATTGTCTGTCAACATGCAAATAATGTGTTATAGGTTTAAAGTTTTGCATTTGATTTTATAACCTAAGTCAAATATTCTTTCATTTGATTAACTATTCTTATATTTGAAATTCATATGAGATTTCATATATATGCTATTGAAGTCTTTAATATTTCATATTTAGTACTTATTTGAATTTTTAATATTAACATTGCAACTCAAAAAGGATAATGCACGTCCCAGTAAGAGAACACCTTTCTTTTCTTATAAATCATATAGTGCAAAAAAGCAAGCCCTTTAACTTAATTGGATGAATATCATAAAGAAATTATTCAATCACCCGCTGAACCAAATTCCGCTGATCAGGCTGCGTTGAGCTTAGCCTTCCTTTCCAACAACTCCCTAATCAAATTACCAATATTATCATAAGACGAGCCGTCCATCTCAACCGCCCTCCTCGCCTTCTCCCCCAAATCTCTCGCCCTCCGCCTCCTCCCATCCGCCTCCTCCCCACTCCCCATCACCTCGCCCTCCGCCTCCTCCCATCCGCCTCCTCCCCACTCCCCATCCCCCTTCTCACTGCCTCCTCCACCATCGCCGCCCCCACCATTGGCCTATCCTCCACCGTCAACGAATAAACAACCGACCCCACCGCCACCCCAACCTCCAACACCTGCACCAAAAGCTTCTCATTATAAAACTGATCCGCAAACAGAGGCCATGTCACCATGGGCAGCCCGGCGCTTATCCCTTCCAACAACGAATTCCACCCACAATGCGTCACAAAGCCCCCCACCGCCGCGTGGTTCAGTATCATTAGCTGCTGAGCCCATCCTCTTATCAACATCCCCTTCCCTTCACCATTAATCCTCTCCTCAAATCCTTCCGGGAACCACTCCTCCTTGGCGCTACGCCCGGCCACCAATATGAAAGAATGACCCGCCGCCTCCAGCCCCATTGCTATCTCCCTTATCTGCTCACCAGCAAAAACAGTCGCGCTCCCAAAGCAGACGTACACGACCGATCCTGGTTTCTGCTCGTCCAGCCATTTCAAGCATCTGTCTCCATCGAGGCTCTCATGGTCCCCACCCCTCAACGACTTGTCGGCCACGTCCTGGTTGCAGAGTGACACAGGGCCAATATGCCATGCCTTCCTTCCAACTACTTTTCTGTAGTACTCGACATACTTCGGCTCCAGCTCGTAAAAACTGTTCACTAGCACGCCGTAGCTCTTGGGGTCAACCTCTTTCCTCTGGCTATTGATCGCATCGAAGGAGGCAGCCAGCCCAGGCGGCCGCTTGGAGTGCTCATGGGTTTGCGACAGAAGCATGTCTATACGGTGAGGAAGGCCGGGGTGGGTGAAAGAGGATGCATCCGGCGGCAGGTTGTCGAGCGTGCGGTGACGCTGAAGGGCGTCATCGGCGCAGCGGGGGAGGAAGCCAGTGCCGTCGAAGACTAACCTGGGAATCCCTCGATCCGTAGCAACGTGGTATGTCCACGGCATGAACATGTCCGTCACGACACAGTCGGGCCGGATTTGTTTGAGTAAATCGTCGAACGGTTGGCGGAGCATGGCGATGCCGCGGTAGAAACTGCTGCGGTGGGAGTCGGAGGGAAGAGAGGAGCGATTCTCACAGCCTTCGGGGAGGCCGACGGCGGCGGAGGGGAAGGTGAGGAGATGGAGGGTTATGGGGAAATTGGAGCGGTGGATGGTTGGGCGGATAAGAGTGGCGTTGGCGGGGGTGGTGACGATGGAGACGTAGACGCCGCGAGCGGCGAATAATTTGGCTATGTCGACCATGGGGAGCATGTGGCCTTGCGCCATGTATGGGAAGAAAAGCATGTGGAGGTTTCCGTTTGCTGCTGTTGTTGACCCCATTGCTGCTGCCGCTGCTGCTGCGCGCACTGGACTATCAATGCCTAGTTTTATTACGAAGGCGATGGTGATTTGTAATGGATTTCTTACTTGACTTGGAAGGAATAGCTTGAGAGAGGGAGACCAATTGACGGGTCTTCTGCCTTTACCTTCGTCATTGATGACGGAAGTTGGGTTGATTTTTACTTCTAGAAGAAATTGGCCGCGGCCATGATTTATGGGAAGAAGCAGTCATCAGTCCGTGCGTATTGAATAATCTGGTTCGGTCAAAGTTTTGAGTCTTCAGCTTGTTTCGCCGCGTTTACTAATTAAATTAAGGATAACAATTTCTCAAAATTTAATGCAAAATTATGATTTTAATTTCTTTTTGTTAGTTAGAACATTTTGGAGGTATTAGCTGATGCGCTCCGTTTGTGTGAGGATTGTACTCAAATTAACTTCATATGTTATTGGCTTCATTTCGCAAGTACATGAGCGTTTTGTTTATAATGAATCATTTACATAGTTGTTTCTTATCACAGTTTTTTTTTTAAAAAAAAATTATATTTATATATATTATTAAAATGTGTATATCAAAAATATGACTGCACAAATTTTGAGGATATTCAACGGATCTCAATGAGTAGACAATAAAAGACTGCATTGGGAGTTAAAAGATGGAGACATAAGAAGTTATTCCCTTCAGTCGGAACCACAATTCAATCAAATGAAAGCTAAACCTAAACGAAAGAACATAAGACACCGGATCCGAGGGGTAGATAGCTACAACTATCTCCCTTGAAATATTCTAGGATTCTTCACGGAGATGACCAAAGGGCACCCCAATATCTTTCTAGTCCTCTCAGAAGGCCCATTATCCAAGGAGGGTTGTCCGTCAAATCACGGTGACACACCTCCTCCTGATGGTCCAAGTTTACGCTCATGAAAAGAGGGTCTATACTGAGGATTCTCCAAAGGAGGCGATAAAGATCCTTCTAGCTGACTGAAAACCTTCTAGCCAACTGAACGATTGTCAGACGAACGAATAACAACATAAGTAAGTCATTAAGTACTTTTCTTTTTAGCAGTTATGAATTTGGAATGGTGCCAGTGTCAATTATGGATCCTAGAGTTAGTTATGAAAATGAAGAAGTGCATTAATTATTTGTAATGTTCCCTTTAAAATAGAGACAAATATGCACGTTACTAGACACCTCCTATAATCTATAAATAATGATGTTATTTTTTAGAAAAGGAACTACTAGACTTTTTCTCTGAGAACTTGTGTTACCGTGCATTATATTTCTCTTTTTATATATCTCTATTCCTCTTAACGCCTCGTTCTTTCGGTGTGATCCACATGAAATTTTTGGATTCAACATCATGAAAGATGTCGTGAGTGTGGAGTCATGCCGTCAACAAGAAGAGGAATGTTTCATGGAGAAGAAACCCACTTAGGAGAAACCTCAAACATGGAGTCTATCCAAGAATTTGTGTAACGACAAATTCAGGAACTCCAAAACCAAATAGTAGGACAAATGGAAGAACTGATACATGTTGTACTTGAGGGGAGAACACAAGCTTTTCTAGAACCAAATCCTTGAGCACCTGATTGCCAAAGGGACCATAAGACTCAAGGAATCAAATGAGTTGAAGAATCCCAATATCAAGATATTGTTGGGCCCATACCGAGGATCATGCCATAAAGGAGCGAATAGAAGTCTACCTACCGCGAGAGAATGCATTATCTCGACCGATCATCAATATTGAGCGCCCCAATAAGTTTAAAGTTCCATCTTTGGAGCCTTACATGGTTTGGAGCGATCTGACTAACCACATAGCATCCTTTGAGTCGATTATGTCACTTTTCAAAGTACTTGATGTGTTGAAGTGTTTGGTATTCTACCATAATGAGGGAGTCCACACACAGGTGGTTTAATGGCCTCCCAATAAGAATTATTAATTTCTTTTGATAAGTTCAATAAGTAATTTACGACGCAGTTTGTTATTGCCCAATTATCCCTCAAGCACTCTCAGGTTCTATTGCATGTCAAGCAAGGGTGGTTGAGCACGAGACTTCAAGCATATGTCACTCAATTCTAGAAGAAGATGCTAGAAGTGCAAAATCTGGAGCACGCGATAGTAATGGTCACCTTGACACAAAGGCTAAGGAGTGAAAAAATTTAGTACTTTCTTGATTTACGTAAACCTAATAGTTTGGTCAAATTCTTGGAGTTGGTCAATGATCATTTCATGATGAGGAATATGTTTGCCAACCTTATTTAAAAAGTAAAAAAAAATTGATTGCCGCTTGGAGAAAAAGGGCTTGTGGGATGACGAGTAGAGAGAGAAAGACGTCCCTCGCCCCAAACGTGAAGAGGTCGGTCGTCTCATAGTTATAAAGTTGCTGATAGAAGTTATCGAAGATGGAGTTGATCGAATGATCGATCGACTGGTGATCGAAGAACGTCAAAACCCATTCAACTTAGGATTTCAAAGGCGGAGCTAATAGAAGCCATTCACGATAAGAAGTAATTTGAAATTGTTCTACCATTGAGAAGCAAAGCCTTTCTACAGAATACAAATAAATTTTGTAATTATCACAAAGATCATAGTCATAACATGGAGGAATGCAGACACCTTCAGTGCCTTGTCAAAGAGTTGATCCGAGCTAGGAATATTAAAGCATTTGTGGCTCCAGGTGCAAACCTAAAGGTAAAGGAAAGCCCATATAGAAGATGATTCAGATGAGCCTGTATGAGCCAATGCCATTCATTTCATAAGGATAGTTCCTGTAATAATTGGAAGAATTCGGTCAAGAGGTCGATCATAAGAAATTCCAAATGGGGGAACTGTTTACAACTACTTTTGCTCTGAAGCAAAAATCTCACTGCCTCAATAGATTTACTGATGTAGATTAGCTCCTGAAAAGGGATCTTTACAACAACGTCGTGGTTTTCATGGTGATGATCAATAGCTACCAGGTGGGTTGCATTTTGGTAGACGAGCAATTTAGGAAACATATTGTTCAAGTCAGTCTTTGATAAAATGCAATTGTTGATCGTCCACCTCATTACGCTGACTGGCCCATTGTATGGGTATCCTGGCAAATGTAAGGAGGCTCAGGGTATCGCTGAATTGTCAGTCACCTTGGAAGAAGGTGACAACCAATTCACGTATATGGAAAACTTCTTGGTGATCGATGTACCACCCACCTACAACTTGTTCTTCTTTCTCCTAATATTTAATGACTTTAGAGCAGTGGTATCCACCTACCATGTGGTGGTGAAGTTTTCATGTGTCGGGGAGATATTGACCATTCAGAGCAATATGGAGCAGCCTCAAACGTGCTACCTTTGGTTGTCGGCCTTGTGGATCAAGAATGTTGGACATCCAGCACCACAAGAGGAGGTCTCAAAACCAACTAAACTACAGTTGATATCCTTAATACCCTAAAAAAATTGGGTAAATATTTTCTAATTAGTGAGAGTTTTGATGTAGAGCATGAAGACTTGCTGATCTAGACTCTCCAGGAGCTTTAGGGTGTCTTTTTCTGGTCAGCTGCCGAGATGCCAAACATTCTGACAAATGTAGCATGTCATAGACTTAATGTCAATTCAATCGCTCGGTCAATAGATTATAATGTTGGCCATGACTTTGAATGAACCAATTCCAGAGTAAGTAAAAATACTAAAAAAGGTGGGATACATCCCGAAGATGCAATACCTGTCATGGGTCTCCAATGTGTTCATGGTGTAAAATTTGAATGACAAATGAAGAATGTGCGTGGACTTCACAAATCTAAACTCTGCTTATTATAATGATGATTATTGTCTGCAAAGGATCGATACAATGATATATTCTGCTTTCAGTCATTCAGTAATAAGCTTCCTAGACGCATTCTCTGGACACTATCAAATAAAGATTCACCATGTCGATGCAGGGAAGAACGCTTTCATCACAAACAAACGCCTATATTGTTATAATGTAATGCCCATAGGGCTAAATAATGCTAGGTTTTTCTACTAGCATTTGATGGATGTAATCTTTACTTAAAAAAGGAAAAAAAAAATATTGAACTCTATGTAAATGATGTCATAGTTAAAAAGTAGGTAAAAAAAAACATATAAATGATCTAAAAGAAGCATTCCAAACACTCAAAAAATATAATCTGAAATGAAATATACTGAAATGTACATTTAGAGCGTCGACCACAAAATTCCTCAGATATATCCTGATGTCCAAAGAAATAAACGCCAACTTAGAGAAGGTTAAAGTGTTCCTGGATTTTCCATCTTCTTGAAATGCTAAGGAAGTGCAAAAGCTGACGAGTCATATAACAAAAATCAACCTTTCCATATCAAGGTGATAGGACAAATATACATCATTTTTCAAAATATTGAGAAAAGCTAAAAGTTTTGCATACCGTTAAAGAAGCATTGACTAATCATGCTATTGTGACCCCATGTTTAAGAAACACTCAGGAAACTCTGAAGGTTGATGCAACTCACATCGAGACAACACTAAGGAAACTAGAGTACCCTAAATAGAAAACCAATAAAAGCGTTCAAACAAAACCCCTCAAACTTGAATCTTCAAGTTTTGAGAATTAACTTTCAGAGTTGATCGCCCACCTAGTTGTGACAAAAATTCAAAAAGTGTTCCGAGAAAATTACCCTAGAAAAGCATTGTTGACACCTCTCCAATGTGGCACTCCCTCATTGATCACTTGCATTAATCAACCCTCCTGAGCTTTCAGGGACCAGCCAATCAGAGCCCAGAGCTTCCCCCTTGTCCATGGCTATTAAACTCCCTTATTTTCAGCCAAATGAAGAGATCATCCAATTCCTTAAGGAGGCTCTGTCAAAATCTTTCCAGAGCTTCTCTAAACCCTCTTGAGTTCAATCCTACTGATTTCAGCCACTCATCTCCCTTGCATGAGCTCAATTAAAGAGCTCAAATACTCAACTCTCTTCTTCCATCTCACAAAATTCCACTAATCTTAAAATTAACTTGCTCCTAAGCTTCACCAAAGCACAAGGAGAAGTTCCCCACTGAAGGCCCCATCTTTTACGCCCTTTGCACCATACTTTGACCAAGGCCACATCACCCTTTGATCGAAGTCTTGGATAGACTCAGCCTCTGCTCGAACCAATGCTTGGAGGACGTTTGTGGACTCACAACTAAGCTTCAGAACACACCCAATTGAGGCCTCACCTCTTGGGCTAATGTATACACCATTTCCTCCGAAAATCAATTTAAGCTTTTATGAAGAAAAGTTTAATTCCATGCATGATCAACCGTATGAATATGTTCATCTTGGTTAGATCTATGTGTAGGAACAAATCGTAAGTGATTTGGTTGAGTATCGAGTGAGATCGATACATTTTAATGTGGACAATACTCAAGTTAGAACAAATGAGGATGATGAATGAATGTTGT